GAATGCCAGAGAGGTGCAGCTGGCCGGACTCTGCAGCTGATAGCAGGATGTGGGGCAGATATGAAGGGTGGCGCTGGGAGGAGGGGGAGCACAGGGCAGAGAGACAGGTGGGGGGGGCAGGCTCTAGGGTGCAGTGGGAGGGGGATCTAGGAGGCAGTAATGCCCCTCTCCCTCTCCTGACTTGGTGCAGCAGGGAGGGGCCGGATTTAAGCAGTTGGGAAACCGTCTGTCTGTGCCACCGGGCAGTGCAGGAGCCTGGACTGGTGCAGAGTTGATCAACTGCCTTTGTCTGTTGCAGGGGCCGGAGCATCCCAACCCGGGGACGCCATACACAGCCAGAGGCTTCCCCCGTTACTGCTACCTGCCCGATAATGAGAAAGGCAGAAAGGTAATTCCAGGCCTGCTGCCAGTGGTACCGTCTCCAGGAGCCGGCACTGGCCTGAGTTTGGCCTTACTCCAGGGGGCTGCAAGGACTGATGCTAGGTCTCCCCGGAGCTGCGCCCCCTCTTCCAGCCGGTGCAGCAGCTGTGTGAATGGGGGGTTCTTAGGTGTGCAGGTCACGAGGGGCCTCGGTCCATGGCTGGTGTGTCCTCTGTCCTGCCTAGAGGCCGGCACGCAGGAGGTGGGACATGCTCTCTGCGAGGGAGGGGTCCAGGGCCTGGGACTCCCCTTGAGTTCAGTGGGTGCTGACGCTCCGTCCCCAGCAGGGTTGGTCCCTTTGGTAGCCACCAGGACAGTTGGGTGAAGGGGGCAGTTTGCTAAGGCGAGGGGAGGGGGGAAGAGCATTGGGAGCCATCGGTGCTCGCTTGTCCCCGACCAGACTGGGCTGGGAGCAGCCCCTCTCCCCCGGCACCGCAGGGCTCCAGCGAGGGAGATTTTAACGGCTGTTTCACTGGAGAAATCTGCCCCGTGCAGTTCATCCGCAGGTCACCCCCTTGTCTCCTCTGCGGGTAGCAGCGAAGGACTGAGCTGTGTCTAGGAGTGGCTGGGGCACTGCCTGGAGCCAGAGGGAGCAGGAAGGATGGGGGGGACGATCGTCCTGCACCAGCGAGGTCGGGAACAGAGCCCTACTCTCCAGACACAGCCTGGTGCCCTGTCCACTAGGCCACGCTGCCTTGGCTAGGAGGGACCTGTGGGGGGTCACACGCTGCCTTGGAAGGAGGGACCTGTGGGGGGGAGTGAGCCCTGCGTGGAGGTGCAAGGGAGGGCGAGATCTGAGTGAACCAGCCTGGAGCAGAGATTGCTCGACCTGTACAGTCTTGCTCCACTCCCGGCTCTGCTGAGCGCACTGACCTGAAAGCAGCCTGGGGGGCCTGCAACCTGTGGTGCTCTAATCTGGCATTCCCCTTCCCCGCTCTAGGTCCTGGACCTGCTGAGGGTGGCCTGGAAGAGACGCCTGATTTTCACAGTGGGCACGTCCAGCACGACGGGCGAGAGCAACACGGTGGTGTGGAACGAGATCCACCACAAGACGGAGATGGACACGAACCTCAGTGGCCACGGCTACCCCGACCCCAACTACCTGGACAATGTGCTGGCGGAGCTGGCAGCTCAGGGCGTCACCGAGGACGGCGTGGGCCAGTGACTCGCCTCCGTCCCGGCGCCGCGTAACGTCTGTGCAATGCACAGCCAGTGCCTACGCACCCTCCCGCGGGCTGCTAGCGCACTTTCTCCTGTTGCCTTAAGTCCCTCTATGGAATCGCGTGTCCCAGTGGGAGCAATAACACGGTTTTTGGGAGCCACGCCTGGACAGTCTGTTTTCTGGAGAGCAGGTTATTTTTGTATAAGCCAAGGGGCCTGAGTGGGGTGTCTCGGGCATTACACGGGAGCACGCATGCTGCAAATGGGGCCTGCTGGGAGGGTGTGGCTGATGGGTGGTCCCGGGCCAGGGGGGCGTAGCTGCCCGAGCGCTGCTCCCTCGCTGCGCAGCGGGACGAGCAGCAATGGCCGCACGAAACGTCCGTGCGGCTCCTAACCTCTGCTCCGACACTTCCAAGTGCATCCTCCCCCCGCCCCCGGGTAGCTGGTTTAACACATCCGCTTCTGTGCCGTGGTCATAATAAATGCTGCATCGCTATGGAGAGTTGTCGGTAGCCTGGAAATAATCTCGCGTCCGCTGCTTTCGGTTCCAGTGTGTACGCAGGGCCCCTTGCGGGAGTTCAGGCCCAGGGGCGGGGTTGGCCCAGATTGTTCCACGGGCTCACTTAAATGCCCCGATGGGCGCCACGGCGCCCGCGAGCACCACGTTGGGGACCACTGCTCTAATGTCACTGGTGTATCGACCTCCTCTCCCAGGGGCGTTGAGACCAGTGAGATGTAGGTTATTCCGGGGGGGCTTCTGCACCAAACAATTAAAAATCCTGTGCATGAGATTTTAAAAAAAGCTGAAATTTTATTTCTCAAAATAACACAAAACCATCACGCCTGTTTCAGTTGTTTCAAAACACCCGTCAGTCATGTGTAAGAATGTGCGTACGCAAAAAGTCCCTCCGGGCACAGAGAGTTAAAGAAACCCCTGTGACAAGCCAGTCCCTATTTCTCTGCTCCTCTCCCCATCCCAGAGCCCACCTCTGCCCCCCCACCCGCCAGATACCCACACTCCTGTCCCCAGAGCCCAGCAGTGGGACCCTCTGACACCTGGCCCCTTGGAGCCCGAGGATCCGAAGGAGAAACAGCCTGATGGTCAGTCACAGGCTTTCACAGGCCAGTGGTCCTTGCGCCAGCTCGCAGCGTGGCAGGGAAATTGTGGGCACAGTGTCCTGCAGAATCCCCCCGGGCATACTAGGCAGGCAGAGGCCCGAGTGCAGACATCGCCTCCCTTACGTCGATGTCCTGGCTCTCCGAAGCCGTCACACATGGACCGTCCAATCCGTGCGAGCGCTGCTGGTGAGGTCGCATGCAGCTGATGCGAGGCTGCGCACAAGCAATGCCAATGCGGTGGCATCGTCCTGGTGACATATGTGGGTCGACTTAATTTGGGAGTGGTGCTGTGTCTGCTGTGTTACCCCCCCCCCAAGAGGCAGTAACGAGGTCAGTGGAAGAAATCGGTGTCCCCCGGGGGTTCCTTTGTCAGGGCGACGTCTCGGGGGTGGGTTTTCAGACACAGCGGTGCCGAGGGAAGTTTTGTGTTTTAGCCTTTCATCCGAAGCACTAACTGTGTCTTATGTAACCTGGGAGCTTGGGGCCTTTTTCAGACTGAAAGGTCCCATCTAGGTAAACCATGGTCGCCACCCAACCCTATCCCGGCCGTGCCCGAGCGACTATGGGAGTCATCCGTCTGCTGCAAGCCCCCTGCAGTGCAGCCCCGGGGCGCTGCCCGAGTCTCGCGGGGAGCAGCCTCCCACGCACACGCCCCAAGAAGCACAGACTGGTGTTTTGTTTCTTACCGAGCCCAGCGCGCGCTGGAGGGAGCTGGGCTGCAGCACTGCCTTGCTCTGAAGCATCCAAGCCTGGGGCCCAGTGTCCTAACAGGGGAGCCCCTTGCCTCTGGGCCATTAGCCTAGGGCCAGCTGCAGCAGGGAAGATGCTGGCTCCTGTGACGCCTCCTCCAGGACACGTGCTCCAGAGCAGTAAAGCTGCAGGACATTTAGCCTGTTCTAGCACTTGGGCCATCTTCTCCGTCTTGGGCACCGGCGCCAAGCTGGATTTAAAGGGCCAGGGCTGCCCGCCCCAGGAAGGAGGCTGCAGGAGAGAATACCAGGTGGGTATTCTCAGGCACAGGGAAGAGGAAGCCAGCACAGAGCTGAGGGCGCAATGGAAACCAAGGGTGCTCCACCAAAAGGGAAGAAGTGAAAATCCGCACCGGCTGCTGAGGCTGCCTGGACTCGCCTTCGGGTGCGGTGCGATTGGGCATTAAGAGAGGTGGGGACAAGTTCCATTCTGGCAGCTGGGTTGGGCTTGTCCAAGCTGCCGAATCCTGAATCTTTCGGCGGCTCGGATTCCATACTGGCTAAGCCCAGAAGGAGCAGGGGTGGCTCGGTGGAGCAGTAGCCTCCGCCCTGCGTGGCTTTTGGGGGGCGGGGTGGAGGTCTGACCTTGCAGCTACTGCCCTAAAGTTACTGCCAGGAAGTTGCCCCAATTGAACTGAACTGGTTTAGAAACCAATGTGCCATAATCCAGCCCCCGCCCCCAACAGCCTGGCCAGGCCAGAGACTGAAAGAGATTCAGCTGTCTAGCCCCGGTTGTAGCGACTGGGGCCTGCTCTGAGCTTGGTGTGCATTGCAGCGGCCAGTGGGTTGGAGGGTTGTGGCGAAAGGCCGACCGGGAGCGGGAAGCAAGCCGGGAACAGCCTGGAGGGTAAAGGGAAACCAGGGCTGGGCCCCCAGCGTGTCCCCTCTCATCGCGGGGGGGTTGCAAGGTCAGTGCGAGGGAACCAGAAATAACCAAGCAGCAAGTTCATCAAACGCTGCCCAGCACTCACCCCAGGGCGTGGCGCTCAAACCACGGCGGGCTGCATGCCGGGGCAGCTGGCCCACGCCCTGGCTGGAATGCCCCGGGCAGGAGGAGCCCACGTGAAAGGCTCGTGTGCCGTTTAACCGCGAGCTGAGCTTGGTGTGCCAGCCCTGCCCTCCAAGGGAGCTATGCCGGGCAGGCGGTAGGCAGGATGGGTTTGCAGGCAAGGCATGAGACCAGGCATCGGCCTCCCCAGCCCTGGCCCAGATTTTCTAGCAGGGCTTTGGGCAAATCCCTGCCTAGCCTGATGCCTCAGTGTCCCCCCAGTGTAAAATGGGGGTCCCGACCTGCCTGTGGGGGAGATGAGGCTGGCCAGATACCGGTGTGGTGCCACAGGAAGGTCCGAGCTGAGGAGGCCAACGCAGGGCCGGGGGGTTAACTCCTACAACGCAGAGAGCTCCTGTGTGCGGTGCTTGTGTGAGCCGGCAAGCAGGCGCGTGGCTAGAGGGCAGGGCAGGGGAGCAGAGGAGCAGGACAGGCCTGACCAAAAAACCCCATTTGCATGTCTGTCCCGAAACCCTCCCGCCTTTCCCTTCGCCCCACTTCATTCCTTGCAATCGCCCCTGTGGTTGGGAAGGCAACTCTTGGCGGGAGGGGCTTCGCCCCTGGGGCCGGACTCCCGGGAGAGCTGCTTGTCCTAGAGCGGGGGCCTAGGAGGCCAGCTGCCGGAGCAGGACCGGCCGGGGGGAGACGGTGTGTGGATAATGCTGGAGAGGACTCATTTTACTTATTATTTGTGTCTCAGCAGCACCGCTGGCCCCAGCCAGGATCAGGCCCCAAGTCAGGATCAGGCCCCATTGTGCCGTGCGCTGTACGGACCCAGCACGGGAGGCCGTCTCCGCCCTGAGGCGCTCGCTGTCGAAACCAGCCAGCCCCTGCTGGCCGCCACGTTCCGAGGCTGCAGCCCGGTAGAGAGCTGAGCCCTAGGCCACGAAGGGGCGGGGAAGGGCCATTGATATCTGTTTTCAGTGCAATCTCCTACGAGACGCCGGACTCCTGCCGCTGCCGCGGCCTTTCCCGGCATTGCACCCCCAGCGCCAGCCGAGCGTGCAAGAGGCGCCTTGACCCCAGTACGACCCGACCCCCCACGTCTCCCTGCAAAGCCAGGGCAGAGCGACCATCGCGGCAAAGGCGCAGGTCAGTGCACTAGCAGGCCTGCCTGGAGAGCACCACCGGCAGGGAAAGCAAACGGCAGCTTGCGGCGGACGAGGCTCCTTCTCCTCTGAGTGAGGTGGGTTAGCTGAATGGGCCCTGCAGTAAGGAATGCAGAGAATCCAGGTTCTCTAGCTGTCTGCATGGGCGAGGCAGGGGCTTGGACTGGCCCTGTCAAGATGCCCCTGAAGCCTTTGAACTGGGCTGGCTGGCTCCAGGTGCAATGCCAAACAGTGAGTCAGAGCCAGGCACAGGAGTAGCCTGGGAGGAATGCGGCCACTGCCTACTGCCACCAAGCTCCCGGCCTTCCCTGGGAGCGGCCCTTGGCATTAGGACGCTCTGCGGAGACCTTCCCAAGTCCTCCTGCCGCGATGCTGGCAGGGCCAGCGCGAGGCGTGAGCTGTCGGTTCCCCGGCCCGTGACCCTGCACTTTATTATTGGTCCTGCCCCAGGCTCTAGCCTCCCACGCTGGAGAGTTCGACAACTGATTCTATTACATATTAAAACAATGGTTAGAAGTGCAAAGGATCACAACAGGACCCATGTCTCCTTGCGGCCTAGACTAATGAGGTCGAGAGCCGTCCGTCCATTTTAACCCAAGCGCCATTGTGAAACCTGGCGCGTGCGCTGCAGCGTGCAAGAGAGACGCTCGTGCAATAGACACACTCGTGCGTCACACCCTGTGGACGAACGGCCGCGTTGACAAATCTGGGTGTGTTAATGATGTTCATGTATGTTCAGCCGAGGCCTTGCAAAGCATCACGCCGGCCCTGGCTGTAAGCGGACTGGGTGCAGCCCGTCAGCATGCCCGAGCTGTGCCCCCAAGCGCGCTGTGTCTGACCCACGGGACATGGTTGTTTCCTTTGGGTACCGCCTGCAACAGCCATAGGGCTGGCTCTTCCCTACGGCTCTTACATAGCTCTGCCCCCACCCTGTGAGCGCTCAGCGTGCACACGTTTGTGTCTGAACGGCGGAGCCCAGTGTGCGCACGTTTCCCTGCTCTGAGCGAGAGCCAGCCCAGCAGCCGTTGTTATGGGGAGCCTATGGGACCCAGCGTTCTGCTGGGAATCCGGCTGGCCATAGACAGCCAGCATGGGAGCTGCAGCCTTAGCGACCCGGCCTCACGATGGCTGCATGGGCCTGCTAGCCTGTGCGCTTGTCCCCAGGAGAAGCAAACAGGCACCTGTTACCCACAGATCCCAAATGGGGCCAGGGCTAGCTGGCTGCATGGTGTAAATCGGCATAGTCCTTTGCAGCACTGCAGATTTACACCTTCCTCCTGTGCAGAGGCCCACTGCCTGGGGCTGGGAATATCCCCGTGCTCTCAG